TGTAAGAATTAAGCATCTAGGTCGGTCGTTCCGAGTGAGTAGTTTTTGTAGTGTATTACTACGCAGTGTGATCAGGTTACTATCAGTTCCCACGTGCTGAGATTCTATGAACACCTGTGTTATGCATTTATGAATGTAATTTTTGTCAATGGGTCTAAGCATACAGAATGTAAATATATAACAATGAATATAAGCACAATTGCCGTTTAAATAATCGCCATGTTAAAATGTTATTAAAAGCATTGAATTAGATAAATCTGTGTTAAAAGATAGCATTCTAGTTTGTTATCAATTGTCTGTATTATATATATATAAAAAAAAGGAAAAAATATTTCAATAATATTGATCATTAAAATCTCCAGGGAGAGAGAGCGAGCACACAGTGACTCCAGTGTCAAAGGTGAAGTGGCTTAATGGAATTTACCAGAAACACATCATTTAAAATCAAAGAAAATTTCCCTATAGGCGTAATGCTCAAAAGCAGAAACCGTCTCTTTTCGAATGCATACCGACACGATAAAGAAAATGTACTGGAAGTTGAATGACGTTTTAAAACCAACCTAAATTCACGAATGAAAGAAATCGTTAGTGTGTATACACAGAAGGTACGTTGTAAACACTGACCCAGCTTGATCTAGATAAGTCACTGCAACAGCCTGCGTGTATCATTCAAATTACACAGTCCCATTTGTTTCCACTAGAGTGTTACATCACTAACACGTCTCCCCATGCGCGATGTATATTATTAGCACTGCCTGACTGTGGGAAAGTCCCTCGTTTGATGTCGCAACAGGTGCTCCAAAGGGAATTCCGACCGTGACGTCATATAGGAAATTAATCCTAGGAAAGGTCACGTGATCTATCTGCCAAATGACATGGTATGGATACTGAAATAATAGTGTGTGTATTTTTGTGATCACTGATAGAGAGGGTTCGAGTAAACCGGAATCTGTATAAAGAATCTCTGCTAGGGAACCTCTGAATTCGTTCGGCAGCACCAACCTACAAGGACGCCATCGCAGTGAGAGTGAGCTGCCGAGCAGACCGAGGCTTCGTCCGCCATCATCATAATATACCATCACATCTCTCTCCTGCTCTTCCATGTTGTTGTGGTACTCACAACAGGTCGTTCTCTCCGACAGTCGGATTCACGACCGATCGTGCACCGCATAGCCTCGCTGACCCTAACGGAAACATATTCTTGTTTACATTAGGGGTGTGCACGTTATGCAAATGAAAACACATGAGAATGTATGAAGGCGGACCAGTGATCATTTAATGTTGGTTAACATTGACAGTTGACTATTCGCTCACTATCAAACACCACACCCGACGGGAGAACACCGTAGCTCGTGCAATACTTTGATCCCCCATGGCCAGCTCCGAAGAAACCCCGAGCGACTGTCAAGATGAGTCGTTCAGACAGAAACAAGGAACGAGGTATGTGTGTGAGGTTGGGATGTTTTATGTTGATGAGAGCCGACACGTGCTGTCAACACGAGCAGACAGGTCACACCGAGATAATGTCTGCTAGTGTATACCTTATCTTATTAACTTGTGATGGTTATTGATTACGTAAACAATATGTGCTTTGATAACATATGTACTAACATAGAATGCTGATGCAATATACCTGCTATATAATCTAATATTTTACAAGATGTTTTAATCTTAAATCTTGGAATGTATCTACTCCTGAAATATTATATCAGGATTGATCACAATGTATTTGGGGCACGGGTATGAATGCAAATTTGTTACATCTATTGAACAAATTGAACCTGGGTTAGTGTTTGAAAAAAGGGGGGGAATAGTGTAAAAGATGTGGATTAATTAGGTTGCCTTACAAGCATCAGCTGTAGGGAATTTCCCTTTAGCTCAGGGTAGAGCATCAGGCTGGAGAGCCAAGGGTCGCAGGTTCGAGCCCCAGCGACGGCACTATCTTTATCACTATTCCTCGTCCTATTACAGAACAGCTAACATACGATAGTGTCATGTTATTTGAGGTGAGAGGAGACTTGTTTACTGATCCAGTTGTATTCATAGCTCTGTGAGTGCCATTTCCTCAGGAAGTGTTTGTGTGATGACTTGCAGTGGAAATGTAAATATTTGAGTCGATAGTTTTGAGAAGAATGTTGAGAAGAATGCAAAGTTAAAGATGACATTCAATAATATATAACATGTGTATATTGTATTGTTTTAAGCTTATAATGGATGGCAAGTTTGTGTGTTGATACTCTGAAATGAGTTAAGTTGATATATTCTAAGTTCCATCTAATACAATATTTCATAGTGTAGCGGAACTGGACTGGGTCGATTGGTCAGCGACCAGGTAGCTCAATCGGTAGAGCATCCGTCTAAATTTCGGAGGGTCACAGGTTAGAACCACGGTCTGGCTGTTGCGTCCTGTTTCTCCTGTTACTTTATTAACTGTAGCGTAACTTGACAACGGTCAATCGTCGATGACCATGTATGTCTGACACCTGACATACCCATGACTGCTGGAGACTGTGGTCCGGTTGGTTAGAGGGTCTATCTTGAGTTTGAATATTCTGCTTCAAATTCTAGTCTAGCTGCACCTGGAAACTAAAATGTTTGAAAGTTATTTGATTAACTCTTTTGGTATTTTAACAATTTAAAAAATAAGTTTGACAAAATATTCTCTCTATTTTGCTCTTCTTATTTTAAGTAAAAATCATGTAGGTTTGTGTGTAAACTGTAGTGCACTGCAATCCGTTGGTAATATAGCAGCTGGACTGGGTGATCGTCGCGACAAGGTAGCTCAATTAGTTGGTACAGCATCCCTCTGGAGGGTCCTGGGTTCAAGTCCCGGTCCGGCTGTTCATTCCTTCTCTCCTGCTACAGTAAATACCAAAAAGTTAAAAATGGAGTGCCCCTGATCCAAGATCCTTAACCCTTTCACCACTGTAGACCATGAATGGACTCATCCATATCAATGCATGGTAGAGTCTACTAAAGTTACGTAGGGGTGAAAGAGTTAAAGAGTTCAACATGATTAACTGTTACGTAGCTGACAGTTGTTAAAATTTCTAAATTTTTATTTTGCATGTTGTCTTGTTTATATATCCTTGTTTAGTTTCATATATGTTTTGTCGCAAGAATAGCACTACAGTGCTAATGTTATTATGTTACATGTATATGCGACGTTAAATGAAGCTTCTTGACTCTGGACAGAAGCTTAATTAAATACACCAAATTTAACGGTAAAGAGCAGTGTAATCAGTGACAAAAACAGGAGATTGTTTCACTTTTTAAATGTGTTCAGTTGGCACTAGAAAAAAATGCAAACAGTAAGCAATAATTTCAAAATGTGCCTTGCTTATATAGCAACAGTAACTGCAGGCTTACCTTAATGACGAAATAGATCGTATGTCATCCGTTGATGCCATTTACTTGATTAATGGCTAAAGTATCAATATCAGGGCTTAATCCAGTTTTGTAATAGGGGAAAATATATTTACGGTACAAAAAGCGTACTGTGCATTAGGATAAATTCAAATAATGTAACGTATACTAACTAGGAATCATGTGCAGTAAACACTGTGGTTGTTTAATCAATAGAATAATCAGGACATTTTAACAAGTTGATGCAATCATGGACACAAAGTCGTGGCATTAGTTAATTTGAGATTGTTTGTAATCTCTGCTGGTACCGCCATGAAGATTGGTTTCGTTTCCTGTACATGTTGGTACCAGGTCTCTACTGCAGTCCGTTAGGCTGTATCGACTCCATTTAGTACTGTACAGTGGAGCTTTGATGGCTTCAGGAACCCTCCTTCCTCATCCTGTCAATTTCTGTTTGGAATCCATGTGTTTTCAAATTTTCCTCTTTACACCCCTCCCCCCTCCTCTGCACTTTCCAGCATTTCATATTTTTATTTGCATAATTTCTCTATTTATATTTTCACTGATGCCTCTGTTTTGGTTGAAGCAGCATATAGTTTGTTCTTTTACCTAAGGCCAGACAAAAATAGAAATGTGTTTCCTGTAACATGTCGAAAAAGTAAGGGTACGCAGTCGCAGGTAGGTAACAATTGTTATTTTAACAAATAATTTTATATGGTTTATATAGGAGAGTGATCTTGACTTCTAACATTGCGCATTTGAAATTGCCTTAAAAAGTTTAGGTAGGCACGAAAACTTAGGGTAGGAAGGGTTGCTGGAAACATGAAATATCTTTTGTTTGTCCTAAGTTTAATGGCATAATCAGGAAGCAGGATGCCTACAATAGCCTCAGGCGTTAATTATTGTGTCACTGACTTTTAAATTTCAGTTAAGAAGTACATCACCAGTTCACAACTTAATAAAATGTTTTATGAGCTACAGGAATAACAGGAGAGGAGGACGCTGATGTCCTTTAAGCTCACCTGGGTTGATTACCTCCTACAGCGGCCAGCTGTGGCTGCTAAATGCTTCATCTGCACAGAAAACTCGTTTCAGACACAACTAAATTAAAAATAGAATTTACACATGCTCTATCATATTAGATATATTTTACTCTGTGTGTTAAGAATATAGAGTGGACTATACAAACATAGCAGTGTTTTTAAAATCTAATTTAGGCCCACCTTCGATGGTGAAATTGGGGCAATTATTTGGCATATTGGCTTTACAAATGAATTACCGGTAGTAAGTATACTTGTACAACAATTCTTATTGAAACTATATCAAAGTCATAAGATAAAAAAAATCTCCAGAGCCTGGCTGCTCAGTGCCTAATTAGCTGGATTTAATTGATGACATAAGTGAAAGATACACAAATTAAGATTTTCAAATTCATTATTACGTTGAGCTTAACAGCTCATCTATATAACATACACATACAAATATTACAAAATAACAACATGATGTGCAGGACACATAGTGCAGTGGAGAATGGACATCAGTACACTTTACATTAATGATTTTCTCAAACTGTTAGCATCGTATATATATTTGCTTAACATATTCAATTCTTTAATATTTGTTGAACTTAAAAGCTGTACTAGTTTAAAAACTAACGTTTTTTTCCGATAATAAATTTTTATATATCTCCTTCTAATTTCCTGATAAATAGGACAAAAGAATGCACAGTACTGTACATATGATTATATGATGCTAACTAGAAATATATAGGAGATAATCCAAGACAAAAAAACATGTACCAGTATGTGTAAGGGAGCATAAAACCTTAACTAAATTACCATTATGAGTAGGTAATGTAATGCAACCTCTTAGGACTTGGGAAAATCAGAAGTGAAATAGGTAAGTAATATGTTTGAAAAATAATATTTTCACTTTCTGTAATTTATTATCAATCATTCTGACTAAAATGAAGTGGCAAAATTTATTTCTGTTGGAGCTTTGATGTTTCATATCTATCTTGTTTTGGTGTTTCTTATCAAGGTCATAGGAGTGTATTGATAAATGGAAATATTCTGGAAATACATCCTTAGTTGAAAATCCAATGTAGGGAGACAGTATCACAATTTCTGAATATTTTAATGTTTAATATTAAACTGATGAATATTGTATGTTTATTATTGACAAAACAGTGTTTTCTCTCAATATTAAAGTATTTCAAAGCAATCCAGGAATTAATTCAGTGTTTTTTTTATCAATGAGTCGCATCGGTCCATTTTTTTGTACTTCAGGAAACCGGCTACCTATTTCACTACTGTGAAGTTTTTTAAGAAAGATAACTCTTACATGCAAATACTATGTGTATATGGTTTTATTATAAAATGTCAATGTTTAATCGTTTATCAGCATTTATTACATTGATTTACATTAATGCAGTAATAATCTATGTCAGTATCATTTTTATTGTCATTATCTCGCAAGAAATTGTATATTTCATTTTTTACCCTCAAATTCACTCCTTTTTGCATTAATTTCCATTTAAAATCCTTAAAATTCTCACAACCTATTTTTTTTTTGTGGCAGGAAAAAATCTTTACTTCAAAGCAATATAACTACAAAATTTGAAAAAAATCTACTGAGAAATGGTGACACAATCCTATTACCTTAAGAAATGTGGGGTATGAAAGAGCGTCATTCCGGAATTTAATCTTCTTCTTTAAAACATTAATGGACATAATTTTGATATCTATTATGGCATAAACTTATTCTGCTCCTTAAGACTTTATACTACCTTACACATTCCTGCTGGGATAGTTAACCTCTGTTTTAAGATTTATTTTCATCATATTTTTTTCATTAGCACATATCATGACCAAAGGTATCTGATATTTAGTTAGGTCGGACAAATGTATTCTGGTCAGGGTATTAAGTTGTTAGGGCAACAATGGGAAAAGGCCATACACATCTAGGGTTACTGTAGTATATGTTCTCATAACAGGTGAGCTAGAACACAGGTGGATGAAACAAACCCCCATCCCAACCTCACCGCAACACCTACCTCACCCCAACAACCCCAACCTCACCCCAACACCTACCTCACCCCAACACCTACCTCACCCCAACAACCCCAAAAGAAACACAAAACATAACAAAGCTTTCAGTTTTTAAAACCAGGATATAATTTCATTTCTGTTTCTGTCTTTATCTCCTCTCTTTCTCCTCTCCTATCTTAAATATCTCCCCAACCCCTTTTCATCCCGTCTCTTCCTCCACCCACTGACATTACCACTGTCCCCATGCCTTCTGTCTTCTGTCCCTCACCCTGACATTACCACTGTCCCCATGCTTTCTATCTTCTGTCCCTCACCCTGACATTACCACTGTCCCCATGCCTTCTATCTTCTGTCCCTCACCCTGACATTACCACTGTCCCCATGCCTTCTATCTTCTGTCCCTCACCCTGACATTACCACTGTCCCCATGCCTTCTATCTTCTGTCCCTCACCCTGACATTACCACTGTCCCCATGCCTTCTATCTTCTGTCCCTCACCCTGACATTACCACTGTCCCCATGCCTTCTATCTTCTGTCCCTCACCCTGACATTACCACTGTCCCCATGCCTTCTATCTTCTGTCCCTCACCCTGACATTACCACTGTCCCCATGCCTTCTATCTTCTGTCCCTCACCCTGACATTACCACTGTCCCCATGCCTTCTATCTTCTGTCCCTCACCCTGACATTACCACTGTCCCCATGCCTTCTATCTTCTGTCCCTCACCCTGACATTACCACTGTCCCCATGCCTTCTATCTTCTGTCCCTCACCCTGACATTACCACTGTCCCCATGCCTTCTATCTTCTGTCCCTCACCCTGACATTACCACTGTCCCCATGCCTTCTATCTTCTGTCCCTCACCCTGACATTACCACTGTCCCCATGCCTTCTATCTTCTGTCCCTCACCCTGACATTACCACTGTCCCCATGCCTTCTATCTTCTGTCCCTCACCCTGACATTACCACTGTCCCCATGCCTTCTATCTTCTGTCCCTCACCCTGACATTACCACTGTCCCCATGCCTTCTATCTTCTGTCCCTCACCCTGACATTACCACTGTCCCCATGCCTTCTATCTTCTGTCCCTCACCCTGACATTACCACTGTCCCCATGCCTTCTATCTTCTGTCCCTCACCCTGACATTACCACTGTCCCCATGCCTTCTATCTTCTGTCCCTCACCCTGACATTACCACTGTCCCCATGCCTTCTATCTTCTGTCCCTCACCCTGTATAACCTCATTCTTCATCTCCAGCTGGCTTCTCCATCACCACCTTTTGCCTCTTCTGAATACCTCTATCCTGTGCCCCCCACCTACAACTCCCCATCTCTCTCAAATAACTCTCCTCCTTTCACCCATCCCCCCTACTGTTTTTCCTACCCTTATCACCCCTTGTTACCCCCCCCCCCACACCCCTTGTTACTCCCACCCCTGTTAATCCAGACTCTCCCTAGCTATCTGAACATCCTCATATCCTCTGTCCCTTTTCCCCCACCCTCTGTTGCCCCGACCCCCTTCTATATTTGTCTAATTCACCCCCAGCTCCCCTACCCCCTTTATTCCCTTTCGCCCCTACCCATCTATGCTGTCTCTTTTATCCCCTGGCTCCCTGGTATCCTCTCCCTTCTATTCACTGTTTCCCAAACCTCTCTATGCTGTCTTCTTTATCCTATGACTCGAGCTCCCCTACCTGGTTTTCCTACTCCTTTTATAACCAGTCACTTCAATCCCTCTATACTGTCTCCTTAACCCCCAGCTCCCTTACCCCGTTTTCCCTGTCTCTACAGCCTCCCCAGCCCCTCTCTCTGCCTACATGGATTTCCCTACCTTTTGTGTCATCCTCCATTCTCTCTTCCATCACCTTCTCACCCCATCTCTCCTTTCTAAGTTCTCTTTTTCCTTCTGTCATTTCCACCCCCTTTCAAAAAAGGATCCCTCCGCCTTTGACACCACCCTGATTTAAACAAAATAATTACAGTGTTACAAGAACTATATAAGAAATCTTCATCGAAAAGCTGATAACTTGGGTCCCCTGCTGTTGTTATTTACAGTTAAAACATAATTAACCTATCATAAAGGTTAAAAACATCAAGAGCGATGTATATATAATTACGTTGTTTCCAGTGTTTCACACTTTCTTTTAAAATAAGGATTGCAAGAAGGTTAAGAAAACATGTATTTATTTTATTATTTTATTTTAATATTTTGTTCGAAAGAAGGAGTCAAACTAAAACTTAGTAAATCAATGACTTGTATAGTTTACCTTAGAGGTGTAAGCTGCTAGTTGGTCAGATGGAATGGTCTGCAGTCCCACATAGTTATCAAACTCGGAGCACATGTCTCAGAAGCTTGCCACTATGTCCATATATAAATAAATTCATCTCCGAGATGAGCAGGTTATCTTGTTTTAGCATGGGAATTAATTGTAATTTCAAATTGATTTACATGTATCTGGCTTTGGCACCATATTAATTAACAAGAAAGGATGGGCAGGGATCTCGATCACCTGGTGCCCCACGTGATCTTAGCCTGGTACTGCCGCACGCAAACAAACCCAGGTTGTCCTACACCGTGAAATCAGGACTTCAGATATTAGTCAGAAACACATAAGGCTTTTTAGCTGTCAGAACTACTAAATTCAAAGCCATTTATATTACGAATAGTTTTCGTCACAAATACTCAAGTTGGGTTCAGCAACAGATATCCTCCATAGAATATAGTTACCAATTCCGAGCAACTCGACTGATTTGCTCATAAATTGACAAGGACACACAGAGAATATACTTAGTATCCAGACTTGGAAACAGACTTGAAAATATTCAAGGAAATTGTGTGGGACTCATAGGGTTGTGAAACATTGTGATATACAAGAAATATGACAAACCCAGACGACCAAACCGCTGATAATGGCATTCAGCTCTCTGTCAGACCGGAGCCAGCAGTAGTCGGTGGTACAGGGTACGTATTCAAGATTGAATGAACCAAGTGTAGAAAGTTCAGGGTACGTATTCAAGATTGAATGAACCAAGTGTAGATAGTACAGGGTACATATTCAAGATTGAATGAACCAAGTGTAGATAGTACAGGGTACGTATTCAAGATTTAATGAACCAAGTGTAGATAGTTCAGGGTACGTATTCAAGATTTAATGAACCATGTGTAGATAGTACAGGGTACGTATTCAAGAGCGAATGAACCAAGTGTAGATAGTTCAGGGTACGTATTCAAGATTGAATGAACCAAGTGTAGATAGTTCAGGGTACGTATTCAAGATTTAATGAACCAAGTGTAGATAGTTCAGGGTGTTTTCAAGGTGTAACGAATCAGTTGATGGTTCTTGATTCGTATTCAAAGTTTTCTGAACTGATATTTTTCGCAGTGTACTCAAGATTTACAAGTTCATGGTATGTTTCAAAGTTTGTTGAACTGTTACACAAGTTTCTTCATTATCAGTTACACTAAGATAGTTTTGTACACAAACATTATGATATTTTTTTGCAAGCTCAAGGAATCATTTGTCGCCATTGTCAAGCAAAGAGTGCAAACAGCCAGATGTTGTGGCCTACCTAAACAGCTGAAAAAGCTACTCTCTTGGCAATGGTGAGCCCAGTCAGTAGTCAGTTGTAAAATCGTAATAAGACATATCGTTAGAGGTGCACTCTAATGATACAGGTAGTCTGATGGATCGGTAATACATGTATGTTTATCATCTTCATCTTCCCCCTGTCAAACAGCCATTATACCAGAAAAGAAACACATTTTCAAAAATTATGTAAGAAATTAATTTTAACTGTGTTTAACAGTCTATGTTATCCCTCCTGCAGAATTCCTGAAAGCTGTGTCGTGTTAACAAAAGCTATGTTATGATATATGTTGTCTCTAAAGACTGACCCATCTTTAATTCCCATGTCAGTCAATAGCGTGTGTCATTGCTTGTGATCTCTTTACCATAGACCCCCATCAACCTGTTTATCAGCAATCAGCCTAGCGATCAACTTTCGGAGCATGTGCATGACACGATTGCTGTTTGGGTCCTTATATATAAGATTGTCGTTGCCTCAAAGCAATCTCTTGCAACCAATTTCTTACTGCTTTAAGACACAGTGGGTGTCAATGGTTGCCAATCATGGTGGCGTCTGTTTCAGTTGCTGTTTACCCTTGTCATGATGCTACCATGTTACCCATGGACGTCCACTCCTGGGAAGGTCTTCTAACTTTCCTGTATGGCTGAGATATATAACTAACCAAAAACTGTTTGTTGATGCACACCAAAGTATAGGATGATGCCATGTTGCAGTTGCCTTTGCATTAGTAGGGCATTATAACCTTCCTCAATCAGTTTATAATAAGTAGGGCATTATAACCTTCCTCTATCAATTTATAATAATTAGGGCATTATAACCTTCCTCAATCAGTTTATAATAAGTAGGGCATTATAACATTCCTCTATCAATTTATATTAATTAGGGCATTATAACCTTCCTCAATCAATGTATAATGATTAGGGCATTATAACCTTCCTCAATCAGTTTATAATAATTAGGGCATTATAACCTTCCTCAATCAATTTATAATAAGTGGGGCATTATAACCTTCCTCAATCAATTTATAATAATTAGGGCATTATAACCCTCCTCAATCAATTTATAATAATTAGGGCAATAACCTTCCTTAATCAATTTATAATAATTAGGGTAATAACCTTCCTCAATCAATTTATAATAATTCGGGTAATAACCTTCCTCAATCAGTTTATAATAAGTAGGGCATTACATGTAAAACCTTCCTCAATCAATTTATAATAAGTAGGGCATTATAACCTTCCTCAATCAATTGATAATAATTAGGACAATTACCCTCCTCCATCAATTTATAATAATTAGGGCAATAACCCTCCTCCATCAATTTATAATAAGTAGGGCAATAACCCTCCTCTATCAATTTATAATAAGTAGGGCAATAACCCTCCTCTATCAATTTATAATAAGTAGGGCAATAACCCTTCTCTATCAATTTATAATAAGTAGGGCAATAACCCTCCTCTATCAATTTATATAATTAGGGCATTAACCCTCCTCTATCAATCTATAATAATTAGGGCAATAACCCTCCTCCATCAATTTATAATAAGTAGGGCAATACCCCTCCTCTATCAATTTATAATAAATAGGGCAATAACCCTCCTCTATCAATTTATAATAATTAGGGCATTAACCCTCCTCTATCAATTTATAATAATTAGGGCAATAACCCTCCTCTATCAATTTATAATAAATAGGGTAATAACCCTCCTCTATCAATTTATAATAAATAGGGCAATTACCCTCCTCTATCAATTGATATTCATTCCTCCTCCTCCTCCTCCGCCGACTCCGACGATCCTTCACAATCTTAATATTTGACAGCTCTTTTATGTTAATAACATCTCAGTCGATATTGACAAAATCTGCCATGGTGAACTTGACTTCAGCAGCCTCTTCGTCCTCTTTCCGGTTCAACTGTTGAATGAGGTCCATGATCCCCATACCACTACCAAAACCATTACTATGCATTGGAAATGAATAAATCATTTCTGAATAGAAAACCATACCATGTTGATTTTTTATGAAATATAATGAAGACGTTTTAAACAATATATTCAACATCAGTGTTCTGAATGTTATAGTGTGGATTAAACCAAGACTTGAACCCCTGACTCGGTATTATTGTACTATCACTCTGAGCGCCTGAACTACCGAGTGAACGAAAGTGTTCTGAATGTTATAGTGTGGATTAAACCAAGACTTGAACCCCTGACTCGGTATTACTGTACCATCACTCTGAGCGCCTGAGCTACAGAGTGAATGAAAGTGTTCTGACCCAAATGAGCTACAGTTATATCCCAAATAGAAGTCCTGTACAAAATACCGCAATGCAATGGTGCAGGGCTCCTTAATGTGGCCTAAAGGAGCCCTGGACCAAGGAGACACCATTTGTGTAAGTACTGCAGTCGTAATGTAGTACAACATGTATAAAGGGATAAAATGCTAAAATAAAATTAGGACTAAGTTATGAATGGTTTCAGTGATACAAGGCCCCTGGGTAGAAATATTTGTCAAATTGTCGGGGGATGCTTGTATAACTTGGGAACCTGAATCCCTAGGAGTTGAGATCGGGTGTAAAATGAAAGAAATTTGCAATATTTCCACTTTTAGTACTAGGTGTGTATCTATGTTTGTTTCCACCTCCCAATGAAACAATAGCATATTAATCATCCTGTGTTCTATTCACGCGTTTGCTATATTAACACCTTCCATTAATCCTTATTTAATGCGAAAAAGCTTTAAAAATCTTCTTAAGTTCCAGGATAAATGAGTTCGTGATATTTTGTCAGTAAGCTGCCAGTGACAAAGCATTAAAAATGTTCATCAAATTATTGACATCATTAAAATCTTGTAACAGGTGTCGAAATGTGTTAAAAATATCCAAATAAATACCATAAATATACAATCCACACAGTGTTAATCGGACATCCCAGATAGCAGGAGTTCCAATGCACATATGAATACTATATATTTCAAAAGTGCTAAATAAGCTCTAGAGAAAAACAAGAGAATAACGAAGTGTCAAGAAAACTATGATTCAAACTCAAAATCGAAAAAACAAAGGCAACAAAATAAATAATGAAAGGATTGCTTCGAGACCCTTAAAAAAGTACAAGGAAAATAAGACCAGCTGTTCCAGAAGGGTATGTCAAATTTATTAAACCCTATCACTCAAAAATTACTGGAGGGATCTTTCTCAAATTTCACACAAGGGTTCCTCTTGGTGCTTAATTATGCATATTAAACTTGACTGACGTGGGTACCAAGATGCCAACAGGCGGCCATCTTGTTATAGTTTTATTTTGTTATCGCTATTTCTCAGAGTTTACTGGAGGAATTTTTCTCAAATTTGATTTGAAGGTTTCTCTTGGTCCTGAGTTGTGCATGTTAACTTTTGGGGTTGATCAAAAGACTGATCAAGATGGTGGACAGGCAAACTGATCAAACTAATAAGAGAAAAGATCAAACTGACATAGAACTAATGAAGATGGTGCAATGGTGGGCGCCATGACCCCTCGGAGATTTCTTGTTTGTAAGTTGTAATAAAACTGGCTGTATCTCTTTTGTGAGATTCACCATGTATGTAATAAAACTGGCTGTATCTCTTTTGTGAGATTCACCAGGTACGTATGTAACATGCACTATTCTGTTCCTATGAGTTATGAGATGACAAAGTGAGCGACACAGGGCCACTGGGCCTATTATTTATTGTGAGACTCACCAGGTACGTATGTAACATGCACTATTCTGTTCCTATGAGTTATGAGATGACAAAGTGAGCGACACAGGGCCACTGGGCCTATTATTTATATAAGCAGATATAGCTGTCAGGTTTTTCTCCATATTAAATGTCATATCAAACGAAACGTGTTTATATATATGTTTGGTTTATGTCCGCTTCCTTG